CCTTCCCTTCCCTTCCCTTCCCTTCCCTTCCCTTCCCTTCCCTTCCCTTCCGGCAGAGAGGTGCATCTGGACTTCAGTGGGCCAATTCTCCAGAGCGGGGCCAGCATCCTTTTGGGATGCAGCAGTGATGCAGCAGGATTCCCAGACAACTAGCCACCCTAAACAACACTTCCTTGGGGCACTGGGTTCTGGGATAGGTGGAAGGGTAAGCTCTGCCCCACAGTCCAGCTACCCTCCCAAGGTATTTCCAGGGTAGAGAGATCCTGATTCACAGGGGGATATTGTACCAGCATAAATTTGCCACCAGCTGGAAAGCAGCTCCCCAGGGATCTTTGGGATCCTGCTGGGCACTAGCTGAGCAGAAGGCAGGGATGTGTCCTCAAGGCACCAGGCAAAGGCAGGCAGGGAGCACCGATGGGGAGGCTGTGCTGCTCCAGTTGGGATAACCTGGGCGAGACACAGCCATGCTGGGGTGAGTTCAGCAAAGTGCCGTGATGGTGGTGGAGCGACTGGAGCACCTGTACTGTGTGGAGTGGCTGCAGGAGCAGGGTTTGCTGAGGCTGGAGCAGAGGAATTTTCAGGGATCCTGCTAATACACAGGCAGGGAGGGTGCAAGGAGATGAGAGTTCGTCTCTTCCCAGTGATGTCCGGTACTGGAAGAAAATGCAATAAGCACAAATTAGGACATGGCAGGTTCCTTTGAATATCAAGAAACACCTTTGTACTGTGAGAGTCACGCCTCAGTACAGGTCACAGGAGGAGCTGCCCTGGGGGCTGTGGTGGTTCCATCTTAGGGATCCTCAGTTCTCAAACAGGTGTGATCGTGGGCCACGGGCAGCTTCTGCAGGGGCTGGACAGGACAGTGCTCTGTGTCCCGACTTTACACAGTGGACACTTGAGCAGGGACATGGCTACAGCCTGTGCAGGGCACACACATGGTTGGGGAGGCACGGCACATGGGCATACACTCACACACGAGTGTACACGTGTGCTCAAGGTGAGCGTGCAGGCACCTGTGCACATCTGCACACACACCTGCATCCAGGGTCGTACACGTGAGAGCACACTCATGAGTGCCCAGGGAGAGAGCGCGTGCGGCGGGGTGCGTGTAACAGCGGGTGCCGGGGATGGCGGGTGCGCCGGACGGGGGCGGTGCCCGGGATGAGGAGCCGGGGTCGGGAGCCCCGGCTGCGTCCCGCCGCTCTGGCCGGGGCGGGGCGGGGCCTGCGCGGCGCCGCGCGGGCCAATCAGCGCCGTGTTCGCAGTCGGGCGCGGGGTTAAAGCCGGGTGCAGCGGTGGGGGGGGTGACGCGGAGCGGTGCTGGGGATGTGGGCGCGAGCGGTTGTGGTCTGTGCGGCGCTGTGCGCATGCGCGCGCGCTTGGCTCGGCGGGTCTGTGTGCGTGCGGGAGGCGGCGGGCGCGGGCGGCGCGCGGTACGTGGCGTTCCTGAGCGCCGGCTCCGCCGCCGGACCCGCGCTGGTCGAGAGCGTCTGGGCTGCCCCCGACCGCCTCCGCGCCTGCTGGGCCCGCCGCGATCCGCGCCTCGCCCGCGCCTTCCGTGCCGCCTGCGCGCAACGCCCGCCTGCCGCGCCCGGGGCTGCGCTGCGCGGGGCCCTGTCCGCGCTGTGGCGCCGTCGTGCCGCCTGCACCGACCCCGTGCCGCCGGGACCGCAACGCCGCCGCCGGGGCTGGACGCTGCCAGGAACGCTGTGGTGCGGCGCGGGGAACTCGGCGGGGAACTGGAGCGAGCTGGGTACGAAGCGGCGGGAGGCGGCGGGAGCACCCGGTCCTCCCTCCGGCTCATCGGCGCCTCCGCAGGGCTTTTCCGCGGCCCCGACCGGTGCTGTCGGGAGCATGACCAGTGCTGGGCGCAAATCACGGCGCTGCAGTTCAATTACGGCATCCGCAACTATCGCCTGCACACCGTGTCCCACTGCGATTGCGACACCAGGTGAGCCCAGGGCGTGAGGAAACGGGGAGCTTGGGGCCCGCCTTCCTCACCGGTCCCCTGCCCGCAGGTTCCGGCAGTGCCTGCTCGCCATCAACGACACCGTTTCCAACATCATCGGCGTCACATTCTTCAACCTTTTGGAGGTGCCGTGCTTTGTGCTGGAAGAGAGCGAGGAGTGCATCCAGTGGCACTGGTGGGGCGGGTGAGTTCCCGGGGGTGCCCCGGTCCTCAGCGTTTCCTGCCCGGCTGTCTCCTCGGGCACTGACTCGGTTGGTGTGCAGGACCTCACAACACGTGGTGTCCCCAGGTGTGAGCGTTATGGAGTAGTGCCTCTGGCCAGGATGGTGCAGCAGAATCAGTACCACCCCAGTCTACCAGCAGAGGAGAGGGGCAGCCCCACTGTGCAGCCCCCGGGCAAGGGAAGGAATTTCTCTAGAACAGGGCGTAAGGAACTGAGGGCAAAGCCTGGGCGCCGCCAGGCAGGGAGACCTAAGACAGCCCCGCAGCCACAGGGCCCAGGTACCCCTGTGTCGGCCAGGGACAAGGCTGAGCTCACAACCAGGCACCCAGCAGTGCAGTGGGGGCTAGAGCCTGGCCGTGCAACAGCATCCACAGTGTCAGGACAGGATTTGCTTGGACCAGAGCAAGGAGCTGGAATCTCAGCACGTCCTCGGTGTGGCAGCCTTGGACCCAGCCCAGCCACAGCGCAGTGTGGAGCCACCCCCGTACCAGCTGTGAAGGGGCGCAGGCAGCAGGGTGAGCTGGTACTGTGGGCAGCACGTGCACACCGCAGCTGGGGTGGCCCAAGGCCTCAGGCTGGTGGGGTCATGTGCTGGGGGTGCCCATTACCTCCCCACTGTCCTCAGGCCTGGGCAGGGGATGCAGGTGCACCAAGCACCTGCGTAAGTGTGAGCACCAGATTGCACCCCATGAGGTGAGGTACCAGCTGCACAATGTGGACAGCCGGACACTCTTCCACTGCAACTGCATGCGCAGGTGTGAGTCCAGGAGGAAAAGGCCACTGTGTGCATACAGTTGGGGATCAGAGGAGGTGGGATGCTTGCCCTGGCCAGCACGTGGTGACATGTGCCCTCCTGTGCCTGCAGGCTGGCACGGTGCCTCCACAGGGCAAGGGACTGCAGCGACATGGACTTGGCTGTCCTGGCTGACCGCATCACCATGGACTGCTTTGTGCTAGAGCTGCCTGCTGCCTGCAGCCCAAGCAGGGAGTCACAGCACAGGTAAGTGGGGAAGAGGCCAGGGCCTGGATGGGGCAGGAAACCAGTAGTGCAACATTGGCCCCTGCTACGCTGTGCCACAACCAGGCTGCAGGGCAGGGGCAGTGGATGTTGGTGCTGCAGGGTTAGAGTGATGCTCACAGCTTTGCTTTTCCAGCAGCTGTACCATGATGACCAGGGCTGTGCTTGTACCGGCACAGCAGCTCAAAAAGATTCTAAGACGCTGGGGCCCTCTGCGTGTGAGCTCCAAGGCCAAGCATCTACACTGGAAGACACATGCCAGGGGAGGTATCCTCTGTGAGCAGTGCCAGCATCTGGTTGTAGAGCAGACACCAGCTTAGCCCCACACAGTGCTTTGATGACACCCAAGCAGCACTGCCTTGGGGAGGAAAATGTGCTGTGCAGCAGCTGGGAGCTGCTTGGGGTCTGGTCCTCAAGTCAAAGGATGGCACTGAGCATGGCTGTTGGCATGACAGCATGGAGCTGGGGACCACAGCCAGAGCAGGCAGAGGGACTGACAAGCCTCTCAAGGAGTATCATCCATGAGTATCAAAAGCAAGAGGAAAGAAATAGGAGGTCTCAGGAAAGAGGGAACTCATTGTCCTTCCCTGGTGTGCTCTGGGGCAGGGAGGATGGCAGGGCACCCCACCCCTAGATTGGTGACCCTTCAACTGGGGGGCCTGAGCAGTGAGGTGTAATCCTGACCCTCTTGCCCAGGCAGGGTAGGAGGGTTGAGGTCAGTACCTGAATGTAGCAGAAAAAATAAAGGGTGGGTCAGAGCATGGTATATGGTACAAGAGTTGAGCTTGCTGTCCCCTCTTGACACTGTGGCCCCCACCCCAGGGGTGATCCTGCCCCCAGCAGTGAGCACAGTGCAGCTGGGGTGGGCAGGATCATTTATTTTGTCACTTGCACTATGTTCAGGCTGAGGCACAGTAGTAGAGCAGGGAAGGAGGGAGCAAGCATTGATCTCCGATCTCCAGGCTACCCTGTGGTGGTCCTTGCTCTGTGCCTGTCACCATTTCTACCAGAGCCCTGCCCTGGCCTTTTGTGCCACCTGAGGTGTGAGGCCAGCACTCCTCCCATGGGACAAGAGTCCTGCACTTGGAAGTTCCGTGAGAGGTTCCCCAAACCGCATTAGACCAAATTTGCCCACCCTCCCCTGTGTGGTCACCTCACAGCCCAGGGCAGGAGCTTGGGCTGTGGGGGGCAGCAAGGAGGGGGCCTCTACCTGCCAGGCACACAACAGGGGTGAGGAGTCACTGCAATAAATAAGGGAGGGGGTGTCTCAGCAGGGAAGTGGCAGAGGAAAGCACACAGCAAGCGCGCTATGGGGAGGAGGAAGGGAGCCACTGCATCAGCGGCCCATGGCACAGCTCTGTCTGTCCAGTTCCTGGGGGCTCTGCCCCTCCTTTGGGGAGGGGCCACAGCCTGGGGGGCAGGTGGTGCTCATTCTCCGGCAGGGATAATAGCCCTGGTCTGCGCTCTCCTGCCGCCGGCCCAGGGCCTGGTCAATCATCTCCAGGCGCAGTGCAGGCAGCAGGCCCAGGTTCCGGGGGTCAGCCCTGCTCAGGGAGCTGTCAGCAGAGACACGCCGGAGGCCACTTTGCTCCTGCACAGTCTGGTAGAACGGGCTGCTGTCTGGGCTCTCAGCTGCCTGTCCCAGCTCCTTGCTTTTAACTTCATGGTGCCCCAGGTCTTCATGGGGCAGATGGATGGTGGGGATACTCCTGGGGAGGCTGCAACGGCTCTGGGGTGAGGGACTGCGGCTTGTACCCCTGTCCCGGCTTGATGGCCGCAGGATGAGGCCCTGGAACTTGGCCAGGCTGGGGCTTCGGCTCCGGTGACGTTTCATCTTGCCCGGGCTGGGACTACGGGATTTGGGAGCCAGGAGGACAAGTGTACTGTCATCCTCTTCTGAGCTGCTGCCTGAGCTGTCTGTAGAGCTGCTGCCCTCCTCTGACCTGGGTAGGGAAATCTGCGCCCCTGCATCAGCACTGCTAGCTGACCCTCACAGGGGACTGTTGGGTACCACACCAGCTGGCCTCCCCCATCCAGAGACACCCCCCTCTGCCATATCCATCCCCCCTCACCTCTTGGCTGTGCTCACCTGGAAGGGCTCAGTCACACCAGCGATGCTACTGGAGGTGTTGCTGTAGTATCCAAGGATGTACTCTCCATTCCCCTTGGGCAGTGCTTCCTCAGAGAACATCACCTGCAGCCCAGAGACACCTGATGGGCACCAGGATTGGCACAGGGGTGCCCCCCCCCGCTACCTCCAACCCCAGCCAAAAGCACAAATCTCTGCTGCCAATACCATGAGCCTGCCCCATACTCAGCAAAAAGCAATAACGAGGTGCCTGCCTCCCCCATCCAGGGGCACAAAGGGGCGATTATCCCTCTAGTGTGGGGCAGAAGTGCCAGCAAGACAGCAGGGCTGGCCCCAGCTCACCTGTGCACACAGCTGCTTCTCCAGGCAGCGCTCCCCATCATCACTCCTGGCCCAGACATAGGACACATAGTCTTTAGGGTGCCGAAACCCCACCTGTGCACAGTACATGGGACAATACAAGTGAGTGGGACAATGTGAGCCCCACTCAGCACAGTTACTCTTCAGTCTCCTGTTGCTCAGCTGGCTCTGCTCACAGAGGGTGACCCAAAGCTGCCTTGCACCCCCCTGCAGGTGTGCCCTGGGGTGCTGTGGGGCCCACAGAGCAGGGGGAAGGAGAAACTGCTGGACCAGAGCCTCCTGAAGCAGGACCGCATCATGATGCTAGGGGAAGGGAGGGCACAGCTCTATGCCCTCACCATGTTCACCTGGGGGGTAACTCAGAAGGGACCCCACAGTGCTGTGCAGTGCTCCCCACTCCCTCCAGCCCCAGCAGCCCCCAAGCCCCTACCCGGTAGAGTCCTATCCAGTCCCAGGAGCTCCGGTGGAAGCCAACAGCCATCTTGTACCTGACAACTGCTTGCTCAGGCTTGCTCCACTCATCAGCCACATAAATCTCAACCAGGGGCTTGTCCACCTTGGAAGCAAACTGCCAGAGAAAGGGCATGGCAAACAGCTGCCTCTGCTCCCCAGGGACCCCATGCACAGTCCCACCGCAGCCCCCAGTAAGAGGCAAGGTAGCTGAGCTCGCCAAACCGGAGTAAGCTCCCCACACAAGGCTGGACATTCCACCCCTGCAGCTCCTGCCTGTGTTCCCAGCAGCCCTGGACAGTGCTCACCTGCACAGCAAAGATGGCAGCTACTGGCTTGTGGTCGCTGACGGTGTATTCCATGTGACTGCAGTAGCACAGCTGGCTCACTGACAGCACACCCTGGCTGGGCCGGTGCCCACCTGTGCCCAACCCCTTGCTGGGAGGTTTTATCTTCCACAGGATGCGGTCAGTCCAGGCAGGTTTTCGCTTCTTGGCACTGCAGGGCACAGAAGAGCATCTCTTGCCTGGCAGGGGCAGTGGGCTCTGATCCAAACTGCCTCCCCCTGGCACTATGGCACATATGGGCAGAGAATGTGGCTCATCCTGGCACTCAGCACAGCTGCTGGGGCAGACCTGTGCTGGTAGCAGTGCTGCTGTCACATCACAGTCCAGCCTGTGCCCACCCCAGCACAGCTGCTCTCCGCACCCATCCACACCAGCACCTACACTGGCTCTGAGCCCCCGAGCTCCTGCATCTCTCAGCCCCCCCTCATGCCCAGCTCCGCTCTCCTACCTGCTGTCATACTTGTTGGTGCCCACATCAAACTTGAAAGTGGGTGGGAAGTTCAGGGGTCCCTCCTGGAAGCCTCTGAGAACAGGCCACGTGCTTTTGGCAATGTTCAGCTGTGGGGAAGAGAGCACATCAAGGAGCACAGCAACCTCCATAGCCAGACCCCTCCGCAAATCCTGCCATAATCTCCCCACCCTCACACACTGTGAAATCCCAGTCCCATTCCTGCCAGCTCCCACAGCTCTCAGGGTTTGTCTATGCCAGCAGCTAGTCTGTAGACTCAATGCCTCAGCTCTCCTTCACACACTCATGAGGGAAGTGTGCCCAGCTCCATCCAGACTGACCTGGGATTCTGCCGTCCCTTCCTCCCCCAGAGACATGAGAGCCAGGGCTCTTTGTGTCCTACGGGTTGCAAGAGGACATGCCCTGACCAACAGCCACGTGGGCAGTTTTGGGGAGAGTCGATCACTGCTAGGGTTCCAGTGTAGGCTGGCAGCACACCCATCCCTCACCTGATCCTTCTCCCAGAGCTGGCTCAGGACATTGCTGTCAATGGCATACTTCACAAAACAGATGTCCAGGCTCTCAATGCGGAAATTGAGGTCCCCAAACCAGAACACGAGGCTGTGGATGGCAGCAAGGGCAACGGGCTGAAAGGGCTGAGGCTACCAGAGCCAGGGACAGCAGGGGTAAGATGTCCCCAGCCTGGGGGCAGCCTTAGCCCACAGCACAGGTGCTCTTGGGAACACTGGCACAAGTCACTGCTCAGCCAGCAGCCTGGCCAGCTGCCAGGATTCTGTAGGTAGGACCAAGTACCATTGGCCAAATGGGCCAGACTTCCCCAAACTGAAACCAAGGGTGGAAATTTCCACATGAGGCACCTGTTGGATTCAGATCACAAAGCCAGGACACAGGGACAGAGCTAGGCCCTCTGACTGGTCCCAAACCCCAAGAGTGCTAGTAAGGCAGGAATTGTACCCTGAATGTGGTGAGACCAAGACCCCTCTATAAACACCTACCCCACCATGCTGAGTCCATGCTAGGCCAGCTCTGCAGGCAAGACCTAATCTCCAAGCTGTGCTGGGATGCAGGGGAGACCCCACACCCTACATGGAGGTGGTCAAGGACTGGGACTGGCACTAGAGCCCAGACTGGGAAGCAAAGTGGTGGGGTACGCACTCATGGTCCAGGATGCCGTTGGCCACAGGCCCCTCAAACTGCTGCATGTGCAGTATGGTGGCAAAGTCCTCCTTGCGCTGCTCCGCCTTTTCCAGGTGTGCTGGCAGGTGGCAGTTCAGGAAGCAGACCATGTGGCCGAAGATGGAGAGACGAACACTCACCCCACCCTTGTTGCCCTGCACCGAGAGGATCCCATGACTCCTTGGGAAGCCAGCCCCTTGCAATCTCCCCCCAGGGCCATACTCACCCAGTATCCCCCCAGCCCTGTCCTGGTGCAGTCTGTCTGGATGTCCTGAAGGAAGGGCAGGTGGTAGTACTTGGCAAACACCAGCAGGATCACACCTTGCATCCTCACTGTGCTGACCTGTAATTGGAGCAAGGGCTGGAGTAGGATGGTAGAGAGCCTGGGGACAAGGGGACAACTCCCCTCACTCCAGGCCATGAGGCAGTACCTCCACCCTTTGTGTGCCACTCCATCCTACAGGTGACTAACAGCACATTTGGCTCAGAGATCTGTGCATACCCTCCTGAGCACTGACAGCCAAACCTGAACCTCAGTGATGCTGGGCTTACATATGTTCTGAGGCAAATGCCTTGGGGAGCTGAGCCTGTCTGGGGGAGCTGAGCCTGCCCTGAGTCTTGCAGGCTGTTGCCAGCTGCACCAGCCAGTTCCCACATTTACCTCCTCACCCCTGGTTCAATGCAGGGGGCAACATAAAGCCACCCCAAAGCACCAGAGGGGAAGCATAAGCACAGGAAAGGCAGCTGGGTGACACAAGCCAAACAACTTGCTCGGTGAGATGCAGCAGCAGTCCCTACGACCTGGATGGCTGCAGGCTGTCCCTCCAGCCAGCTCTCCCCCTGCACCTCCCTCCCAGCTTTCTATTTCTGTGTCC